CTCACATCTATAAGCTACATCTAAGTACTTCAGAAATCAATCTCTGAATGTGGCTCCTTGTGTTTCCTTGGTGTGGCCTGAGGATGGCCAGGGTGGGAAGGAGGGAGGAGAGCCTGGAGCTCCCTGCTGTACCCAGCCCTGCCTCCCTGGGACACCTCCTGGGGTCCCAGCACAGGTGACACGTGTCCCCCCAGCACCGCACCTGTGTGCCCCATCTTCAGCAGGTGGAATTTTATTTCACCAAAGGGTGAGATACTGTGAGGCTTGCTTGCCTTAAGAGGCCCAAATCCTGAACCAGCGGCAGGAAGACAAATGAACAATTTTAGTTCTGTGAAGACCAAGCAATGCTGGTAGAATGTGGATCTGTTTGCTTCCCTTGTAAAAAGGAACTTTCTTCTGACTGCTAGTGAAGGCTTTAATTTCACCCAGTGTCATGAGGAAAATGCCATTGGTTCGTACTGGTGCTGTAGTTGTCATAGATTTTATTATAGCATATTATGATAATTACCTGTTTATTGGCTAATTGCTCTTTAGTTAGTGCAAGGGAAGTGGAGGGAGTAGGACCAGTGCCGGATTTCAGTGTACAAGGGGCATTTGTTAATAACACCCAAAGCTCTCATTTTCTGAAGCTGGCGAATCACATCCTTTCATGTCACTGGGATTTCTTTTTAACACCTTCTGCTAGAACAAACAAGGAGTAACACAGCCTGACTTCAAAGATTCCTGGGCAGCAGGAACGCTTCAGAGGAGTATTTTTGTTTTCCAGGTCACTGCATCAGCCCTCTGAAATTCCTCCCACAGCCTGCACTAAGTCCTCTCAGCAGGAGGGAAACACCACCCCTACCTGGTCCAGAGTCCACCAGTGACTCCTTCTGCCACTGCTCCAGCGAGGGTCCAGGCATCACCTCTTCCTTGGCTTTCTCCTCCTTAGCTCTTTCCTTTAACTTTTTTGATTTCTTCTTTATTCTCTTCTTCTTCTTCTTCTTGTCCTTCTGTTTCACTCGCTTTTTTTTGCTGTGTCGGCTCTTCTTTGTTTTGGAGTCACTGTCACTGGAGTCATCAGAAGAGGAGCTGGAGGAAGAGGAAGATGAGGAGCTGGTGGATGAAGACTGTGTCTCAGATGAAGAGGTACTTGTCTTCCTCTTCTTTTTGTCTTTTCCTTCCTTCTTTTTTTCTGCAATACATCAGAGGAGGTTGAGGGGAGCAGCTCCCCATGGAACCAGGGATGCTGGTCACCCCTCCCAGCCTGGTTTCTCTCCTGCCTGAAGCCCCCAAGTGCTGGGACACAAGACCCCTCTGTGCCAACCCCTTTAACACAGGACAGTGTCCCACTGCCAGACCAGCACACAGAGGGGCTGCAGGGCCCCACGCCTGGCAGAACAAGACTAAAAGGTGCACAGGGAGGTGACAGGCACCCATTTAGCTAAAAGCAGGGACCCTCTTCTCCCACCTACGCCCAATCTCTGCACCCACCCCAGGAAAATGTGGTGCCAGCACAGGGCCCTGGGCCTTTCCCCACCTTCCCTACCTGCTGCTGAGCTCGACTTGTGCCGGTGTGACCCAGAGGGCTCCTTCCTGGGAGGGGAGCTGCTGCCCGGGGCTGAGTCCTTGCTGCTCTTCCTCCTCTTCTTCTCCCTCCTGTCCTGTCTGCTCCCAGAACGGCTTTTGCTCCTGCTCCTCTCTCGCTTGCGGGCCTGGCTGTGGGCCATGGGCAGCCCTGCGGGGGGCACATCAGCGCTGCTCCCACCCACCCCTGAGCCAACCAGCCCCGCACAACCTGCTCCTGGGAAAACTCCCTCTGGCCGAGCTGCCCATCCCGGGCACGGGGAGCCCGCGGGTGCTGCTCGAGTTTGTC